ATTAAATTCTAATATACTATGGATCAAGAACAGAACTTATGCATGACCGGGAAATTACTATGGTCGTTTAAGCCCTGGTCTGGACCGATAGGATCAGACTTTTAACAATCCTATCCACAAAGGTGACCCGCAGGTTGACTCACAGGCTGACCCATACCTCAACCCGGGTCACCCGCTCACCCGCGGGTGACCCCACTCACTAACTGTACTAAATCGTTTTAAATATTATTTCGAGTGCCGTTTATTACGTAATTTCTTTTTATTAGAAGACCCTCAGTGATCCAATTATCAGCCAATCATATAATATATTAGACTTGATAGACTGCCAACCTCCCCTTCCCCCACCCAAAATTACGTAATAAACGGCACTTCCCTTAACAAGCTGAATTTTAACTTGTATTCTGTATACTATTTATTTTCTTAAAAATATTATTTGTTGGAATTATCCTTTAAGCAAAGTTTGTAGTGATACTAATCTATACTGATCTTTTTTATAAAAACGTATAAAGAACTAAGAATACTAAAAAATGTTTTTATTATGTAAAACCACTGACAAAGTGGTTTTTCATATCATAGTAAGGTTTACTCTATGTAGTGTAACTCAGGGTTTTAGTAGCTTACTCTAAACATTTTTAAGTTTCTTTTTTTTTTTTTTTTTTAAATTCAAACCATACTCAATGATTTATAAGTATATAAAAAAAGTTTACTAAAAATGCAAACATAATCAGGCTTTAAAATCGCTTTTGACTAAGATTTCAGGATTTGTACTTTTAGCACTATGAATACTTAAAGTATTTTGACACATTAGAAACTTTAGTTCATAATAATATTATCGTAACTAAGTTACGACAGTTCGTCTGTACACAACTGGTTAAAATAGCTCAAATAGTAAACTCCGGTGTTAGATTTTAAGCGGAAGTACGCGAAAAATTATAATATAAAAATAACTGTCGTTAGATCAAATCGAGTAGCCATTTATTAATGTGATACTAAAAGGCATATATTAGAATAAAACGACAGATTCTTTGATAATGTACATAATCTTACCAAATCAAAATCTTGCTGTTAATTAAAAATTGATTAGGTCACAATGAGCACAAATTCTAAAAAGATGAATCTAAATAGATGACGCCAAAGTCTCATGCTTGGATATTTCTAAATTAAATTTTATAAGAGAATTATATCTGATTATCGCCTATTTTTTCTTTATTAAAAAATAATAATTAGCCTCCCGAATCAATTACAATAATCCGAACAAACCATATTCCAGTATTACTTTATCATCCTTATCTGTTACCCATAATTTTTTTTTTCAAATTAAAAATTCTTACCTAAAGAGTAAAGAATGCAAGACGCATTAATGATGATCGTAAATAGATTTGCATTCTTTAAATGGCAACCACGTGAGGCACAGTGCTCTCTGCCGGCTTTACTTATTTGCGCGAGTATTACAAAGCTAACCTCCTCAGGTGTTTGCATTGGAACTATTGGTTATTTTATACGTATCGTGTAATTCTATTATAACGGCAACTATTAAAGTTTATATTTCATATATTATTCAGGTATATAATGTTTTTAATGTGATAGAGATCACTTTTTGGCTGATATTTTACACTAAAATATGAAGGATTTTGTTGATCTATATTTATCCCAACAGAGACGTGAATGCCGATTTTAATCGAGATAACCAGTCCAAATTTCAAGGATTATAATTGTATTTACATTTATAATTGTTATTTTATTATAATTTAAATTCAAGAATGTAAAGTAGAAGTCATTATTTTTAATTTTAAATTCACTGGTATTACATAAAAAAAAACAAATGACACGATTAATTAAGGAAGAACTGATTAAAATAAAAGAAACAGGTTTATACTGCATATAAAAGAAGAAATAACATTGATGATACTGATACATACCAAAAAAGTGGAGCGACGCCTAAAATGTTTCCTAAGTACAATAAACCAATTGTCACAAGAAGTTTCATTTATAATGTTATTTCTAAAACAGTATAAATGCGGGGTTTTATCGGGAAAAAGTATGTACGTATCTATTTCTGTATTTTGAAAGTATAAAAAGAAATTCGGTTTACATCAATACTTCTCACATTTTTTAATTTTATTTTCCCACGAAATAATTTCAAAAAATGGCAGATGCGAATGAGCTTGCAACGCGTCCGAATAGTGATGATTCACCTATAGACGTGTTAACACATGAAGCTGCTCCTGTTCAAGACCCGCCCTCTAATGCTTCTGATAATATTACACCCGCAACTACTGTAGAACCCACACCTACTGTAGAATCCACACCTACTGTAGAATCCACACCTACTGTAGAATCCACACCTACTGTAGAATCCACACCTACTGTAGAGCCCACACCTACTGTAGAACCAACATCATCAATTCAGCTAGATTCGTTACCTCATCCTTTACCTCGCTGGATGAATCCATCACCTAAACTCCATTTGCGTTTTTTCAAATATCTTCATAGAGTGTTTTCCCGTTTTTGTCAATTTATTTTAATTGTCATAATCATGTATATCTTGCTCACGATTTACAAATATAAGATCGTTCCCGAACGAAGTGATTATTCTCATTTAGAATTTAATTGGAAAGTGGATCCTGCTTCATATTTGACTCCAATGGATAATAATTTTAAATTTAATATTTTAATGGATGGTCATGCTCACACTACTTATTCCGATGGCAGAATGAATCCAGAGCAATTGTTACAATGGGCAATAGGTATTTTTATATAACAATAAAATGTGTAAAATATATATGAATTTTTAATTTTTATATATGATAAAAATTCGATAGCAAATGGGTACAATGCTATTATCGTAAGTGATCACAACACCATCGAGGGTGCCCTAAAAGCTCAAGAAATTGCAAAGGAGGAATATAACAACTCGATTATCGTAATTCCTGGAATGGAATATAGGTTGGTTCTCTCTTTCTGTTTTATTGTGTGTCATATATGTCTCATTGGATTTTATATTTGTTATCATAGTTCTTGCCGGATACATATGAATTTCATTGGTATTCAGGAAAATCCTTTTGGTCCTTTTAATAACCCCTACCCTTCGAATGATGATTTAAAAATCATGATTGATAAAGTTCATGAAATGGGTGGCTTAGTAACCGTAAACCATATTCCCTGGAGTAATAAGACAGGTAAACAATATGTTAATGTTTTTATAGATTTTACAAAAAAAAAACAAAAAACAAACACTTAATTTTGCTATTTTTAACATCTTATAGAATGGGGATACCAGGTTCCCACATTAACGGATCATCCTACAAGGGAAGAACTTCGTGAAATGGTAAATCTTATTTTTTTTTTAATTTTTAAAATTTATTAATAAATTATAATTATAATATTTATATCATTTGTTTGATTATGAAAAGGGAGTTGATGGATTTGAAATCATTAATGGAGACACCTTCGATTTCGAAACATATTTGTTTGTTAGATACAATCCATCTCTAAAAATTTCTGGTTCAGATGTTCATTATCCATCAGATGGTGCATACGCATGGACTGTATTGGATGCTCCCAACAAAACTGTTGAAGGTATAATGTCAAAATTACGAGAGCATAATACTTCATTTTTATTCGATGCTACAGGAACAAGGCCACGTTATTACCCTGATTATAATAAGGAATACCTGGCTTTATTGCCAATAACTGCATTAGCCAATGCATTTACCTCATTTTTTGATGATTATAGAGGAATGTATTCTTTCCAAGGCGGATTTTGCCAAGAAAGAAAAGTTGTTGTGCATTGGAGAAGTTACGGGTATTTTGTACTATATTGTTTATCATTTTTTGCCATTTACGAAATGTTAAGATGTGTGATAAAGAAAGGTTTTAAATTTGCGGTAGCAAGATATAGAAAGTTTCAGAATAATAGAAGGATTCGTATTGATGCTGATGAACAAAGTCTTCTTAATAGAGATCATTATACGGATATGGATGTTATAGATATGGAACCTTAAAAGAAACTTATCGTTTTATTTAGCATTCCTCATTTATACAGTCAGCTATTAGATTCTTAACATCCTACTTTTTTTCTTATAATTATTTATCGTACTAAAAATTTTTTATTGTATATAAAAAAAAAAAAAATTTTTTTTTCTAAAAAAATGTGCATTATCAGTTAGCATAAAAGTATTTGTAGGGGTTTGCAACCTTGGAACATGCTTGTTCTCAGGCACTTTATGGCTATACCAATGCCCGTGCCAAAGGAAATCTAAAATGTTTATTCGATTTTTGAGAACATTAAATTTTTAGTTCTCTCAAAAAATTTTAATGTTTTATGGTATAAATTTTTGTTCTCAAATGATAAGGGGAGTCACAGATATTACGTAATATAATTTATCATATTCCTACCCCCACCTACATAAGATTTTTTACTAGATAAAATTCTTTTTTCTAATGTGAAAAAACATTTTCTGGACCCCAAGATATTACGTAATATCTGTGAATATTTACGCTTTTAAAAATATTTTAATGTTCTTGAGAACATTAGATTTCCAATACGACTGTACCTGACCTATAAATGACTGAAAATCGCACTTAGTTTCATCGTTAAAGTGTCTGGCTATTTTTTGCCTTAACACTTATCTGGGTATGAGTCAGGCACAAGTTCCTGTCGACGCTAAAAGTGCCAGGTACTTTTGTACCAGCAGACTACTTTGTGCCTGGTTTAGATGTGCCTGCCATTTTTGTAAACATAGGCCTTCTAGCCCAAAAATTGACATTTTTATGTTTGGGATATCGATATGGTGCCGAAACGCCCTATATGGCATAGTTTCTACATGTATTTTGGCCGAAATTATGCCAATGAATGCCGCGATTACCAAAAATTTAAAATACTAGTCAAAGTTTTTTAAACAATATAAAAGTATATCAATCAAATTGAAAATATTCAATGACTATGATTTCTGTTTCTTCTCTTCGTCTAATTCCATTGTTTGTTCACAAAAGAAAACAATTCAACTACAAGACCTTTAAATTATATTTCAAAAAGGCCTGCTTAAACCAGAGTTAGATCATTTGGCTTCGGAATGCCCCCAGAGTTAAGATTTAATTAAACAATATTTCATCAGATAATAGCTGAAGAAATCATAAATAAGAAAGTTGATGAAATGGGTTCACTATTATTTTAATGTGTACAGTACTAAGGCCGTTCAAAGTTAGCGTCGTCAATATTTTAACTTCTGAGACGAGGAGGATAATTTAAACGAAAAGAATAAATTAACATAATTAGAAATTTCCTTTTAGCTCACTCAAAGTAATATTTTTTTTTCTAAAAAAATTTTCACCTTTTTTTTTTCATAAGGAAATTTTCCCTTCAGGATCTTTCGGTCTACTCCGTAACTTTTCGGAAGTACTTTTATCATAAATTTTGTCTTAATGCTGGTCAAAATTACATAGATGCCTATGCTATATGAATTTAAAATTTAATTGCTCAGTTAGTGATCCTGGCCGATAGTGAAAAAATCGGCTTAGCATCGGCTGATCGATTTTATTTTAACATTCAATGTAGAAAATGAACGAACTTAATCTTCCAAAAGATTCCGAAATTTTAATAAAAAATCGACTAAGCCCGCTAAGCCGATAAAATTTTATCGGCTTAGCCAGTCGAAAATTTTTGATCGGCCAGGATCACTATGCTCAGTATACATGTGTTCATTTTTTTGGGGGGATGACGTTAACCAACTAATTAACTTTGAACGGCCTAATGAACCAAAGTGTGTTAAATACCAAGCTTGAAAGTTCGAGCAAAAAAAGAATGTGACAGAGCCTTTAATATTTTTTATTAATGCTTCCGATATATTTTAATTTAGTATTTCGAGTAAGGCATAAACTACGACTTGAGTCTCTATTTCTACTAAAAAATATCGATATGAAATAGTAGTACGTCATTTACTGGATTTGTAATATATGACATATGCATGTGACATGTGTAACATAATTTAATTAATATAAATACATCTCTCGTATGCATTTTCTTTTTCTTATAAACCAAAAAAATGAGTAACATAAAGATTCAATGCATTTCTATTATTGGTAAAATGGTACTTATTTATTCATTCGTAAATTTAAATATGTATTCGAATTGTGCTTTAGGTGTTGATATTCACTAATTCCCTCGATTTTACCGTGTAATTTGGGTAGAATAACCCATTATATATCAAAAATTTTAGCACAACGCATCCGGATTTGAAATATCATTACATTGCACATACTTCAGTCGATGTTATTGAAGAACGTGGTAAGCATTTATTTCACCGAGATGTGAATGTAATATTCATAATCTTATGGATTGCCAAATGGTTCTCAAATAGTTTCTTTGAAGTTTTCAGAACATTTAATATAATAAGCTAATAGCATAGCTCCAAAGATGTTAGTATAAATTATCCAACAAGTTTATGTCTTTACATAACTGATTTTAGAATTTATTTAGCAAATAACTTTCATTATCACAAATTGCATTTGAAGCATTTTTTTTTTCGGTTAAACCACTATGAAGAATAAAATAGAAATGCATTTCTAGTATTTTTTTTTTTCATCTAAAGTCGTTACGAAAGGAAAATAGAAACGCATTCCTAGCTTTATTACAAGTGAAAACTAAAACGCGATGTTTTATATTTTATAATTCGTATCATTTCTAACTATGCTATCTATTTCTTATCAATATTAGTTAGCACGAGTCCGGAAGCATCTGATACTTACCTTGGATTATTATATGCAATGGAAGATTTAGCTGTGTAAATTTATTATTATTATTATTATTAATTAATGATTAATAATTTTATTAGCTTTATTAGATCTAAAAAATGTATTATTTCAATTAAACAGATATGGATACTTAACAAATACCCGAGTAAAGTTTGTAGTAGTTCTCTCTGTTCCTGATGCAGTTATAAAGAACAGTGATATGAAAAATGTAGGTCTTACTTAACCTTTTTTTTTTTTTTATTTTGGAATTTATTTTTTATTTTTTTGTAAATTACTTTCCACGTACAGATATTTCGCAGAATTCATACTGCATATATCAATCAGGTATGCAATCCTTTTTACAATCTGGATGGTAAGAAATCAATTGTTAGTAAAAGATTTGTCACGGCCATTGATGCTATTGGAAAAATGACTGGTGAAGAAGTTAATTACAATAGTTCATGAAGTATATGTTTTTTGCTGTATTAATGCGATAAGAATATATATATATTTTTGAAAAATAATTATTAAGATAGAATTAATGGTAGTAGCAATTGTGATTTTACTTGAAAAACTTTATAATGTATACAGTAATAAATAATAACCACTTATTTATTATTTTTTTTTTATAATGTTTAAAAAATAACTATTCAAGTGATACTATAATGGTTGTATTTATATAGATACAGTAAATAGTAAAATGTATAAAAATTAATATAACATTTGATAATTATAAAGGAATTTTTAGTATCAAAATTTTAAAATTCAAGTTATCGAATAAATACTAGTTGTTAGACCCGTATAAATTAGTTATAAAACCTGTATAATTGTCGCGGGGTTAAGAGATCGCCAACAAAATGACCTCATGTCTTGCTCAGATAAGTCCTTTACTAGAAAGCACTCAGTTTATTGGGAATAACAATCTTCAGTATTTTCTATTACAGGTTCGATCTCTTTTATTAGCACAAAGACACCCTTTTCGAATCATTACCGCATAATTACTCTATTACTAGCGAAATTACTATATTATTACATAACTTATACGCGTAAGTTATTATTATATTATTTTTCTCACGTTATTCATAATTTAACTTCACTATTCTCTTTAAAGTAATGAGCTATAGAGGCTAAGTAGTTATAAATACTCTCTGCCTTATAGTTGTTTCTATCTAAACACTTCAACTAGGTAACGAATCTGCAGAGAAAATTTTCTAATTCTGCTGTTGTCTCAATTTTGTCAATACCTTTTTTATAGTTTATTGTTTCATTAAACCTGTTTACAGAACATAACCATTTTGAAGTACACTTGTCAGTATTCTTAACACGTGAAAGTCATTACAATTCCAAGACCTCTTCTTCACTAGAAGTGGTATTACATTTTCTTTTACTCATTTCTGCTTGAAAAAAAAAATAGATCAATAAGAGTTAAAAGCAGATAATTCTAAAATTGATTACTAAAATAAAAAAGTCTAAATTACAGAATCAGAAGTTTATTTGATTACATGGTCGTACAGGTTATACATCACATTCATGAGATAAACTAGTTATTTAATGAATATTAGTGAACACAGTATATTCTATAGAATAACAGTAAACTATGTGGCCTTCAGCCACATAATTTTACTATTATTCTATAGAATATACTGTATTTACTGATATCTATTAAATAACAAGAAAGAGTTTATTTTGGTTAAGTTTAGATTGAACTTGTGATTGAAGAAGCAATTCAGGTTGAATAAAAAGGATTTTAAATTGAGATTTTACTCTGGTTCTGGTGTAGAATTCAACTCATCATAATATTTTTGACAATATTTTTTATACTATTTAAGCTTTAGACATAAAACAACTTTTATAAAAGGTTACTTTGTTATTAAAATTCTTTTGAAAATTTTCTAGTACTTTATAATAGTTAAACTCAGAATAGGTCTGGTCAAATAATTCTTGAAGAATTTGGTTTAAGATTTCTTGTTTTGTTTCTGAAAGAGTTATATTAGATACTTTTATAATAAAGTTAATATCTTCATTTGAATAGTTTTGATTAGATTAGTTATTTATTTGAAGTTTAAGAGTTTTAGTTATATTCTGATTACTTTTATCTAATTAGATCTTAGCAAGATAAAATATTCTACTTTAGTTTAGATCATATATATAGCCTGTATTTCTAGTAAATTCAGTATTATAATATACTCTAGTTTATAAATTATAGTTGGAGTTTCATTCGATATCTTGAGCTGTTTTGTATATATAAAAATATTCTAAGTTACAAAACTAAGAATCTTTTTAAATTATATCTAATTTATATATTCTGGTTCTAATATATTCTTCTTTTAGAGAGTATATTTAGTAAAAGTTTAGTGATCTTAATATAGTGGTTAAGTTGTCAAACTACTATATAAGAGGTCTTAGGTTCAAATTTCACTATTGACAAATTTGAATAATTACTCAGATTTTTGTATCTAACTTATAGTAAACTTTGTTCATTTTTGGAGATTATAACCCTATAAATCATATTGCATTAATATTAATTAGATATAAGAAATATAATATAGTATTAAGTATGATAAAGTATTAAATATAATATAGCATCAAGTATAATATATTATTATATAAATAAATCAAAATAGGATTTACAAACAGGAGATCTGTATAGTAGAAATCTCAAATTAGATGATATAGTACAAATTTCAACAGTTATACTAGTTTAACACTTAAACCAGAAAAGAAGTCTAGGTACAAAAGATACAAATCAAGTAGATGCAAGTAAGTTTATTATATAAGGTTATATAGCACTACTAATTTGGCTTAGTAGCTAACTGAATTTGAGAGGATTTATCTTGTAAAATATTTAGAAGAACTTAGAAAACTAATTTGATAGAGAGCTATAGCTATAGAATTGGAAGCATAGAAAATTTTTTGGGCATACCTAGAAGAGCATGCCTCTTTATACTTTAGACATACTCTCTCAAGATATTATAATTGATTAATCTAACTTAAAATTAACTATAATTAATTAACTAATCAAATCAATAAAACTTTATACATAAGGTTTTTCTATATAAAAGAGTAGAAGCATGCCTTTTAGCTAAAGAGCATATCCTAGTCATACTTTTTTAGGCATGCCTCTGAAGTATGCCTTAGAATACTATACCAACTAGATAGAATTCTCTATACTATACTTAAGATCAGTTATTTTATCTTAAAGATGCAATTATTAAACTTCAAATAGATTTATATACAAGTATAAATAGAGATAAAAAAAAAGATAGTAGTAAATTAAAACAAATCATGCTATTTAAAGAAGAATAAGAATTACTTGATCAATTAGTTAATTTTTTATTACTATTTGAAGAAGCAACACAAGACTTTTCAAAAAGCATCTATGTAATACTTAGCAAAATGATACTAAAAATTAAAGAACTAATTTTTAATTTAGCTAATAAATAGTAATAAATATCTTAATTATGATAACAATAATAATATATATAAATCTGAAAAAGATATATTACTAATCAAAATAGATAATAATGATATTATAAGTAATATTACTAAAAAAAATATATCTATTAAAAATCTATTAAATACTATAGAAGTTTTAAAAAAAGTAAAAGATAATATTTACAATGCTTTACTTTTTTATTGAGATATTCCTAATAATTTTGAGCTAATCATTTCTTTACTAGACTCTAATTATAAGGAGTTGAATTTTTTAGAGATAGATGAAAAAAAGTACATTATTCAAAAACTTCATAATAAATTAAAAATTAATAATATATCTCTAGTAGATATTTTTTTAATTTGTTAAGGCTACTTTCTTAGCTAATTAGATTTTATTAATTTGTAATTACAGAGTTACCATAGTAGTAATCTTCTAAGGTTTTATAGTTATATGATGAGTGTATAACAAGCCATATATATAACTTTAGTCATTATCTAATTTAAGTAGTCCACCATACAGATGATCAACTATCTGTTAGTTCTACACTATGTTACTATATCTGCAACTTGCCTGTGAGTTACCTATTTAAACACTCTGATCATTAACTCTTGCTCACATTCAAACTAATATCACTACTATATCTAACTACTTAAGCTAGCTAACTTACATGTAGATTCATTTACTATATAACTTAGGTCATCTCAGAATATGTATTGCCTAACATATTGTATGCATGCAGAGCTCTAGTTAATCTTAGAAGTGATTTCTACTAATATAGTCATATACCTATTTTACTAATTCACCTGAATTGAACTCTTGTTGATATTCATACAAACTCAGTTCCTGCTGTAGCTCACCACCAAATATAGTCTTTTGAGATTTCAGATATTTTATGAAATAGATTATTCTAATCTAGTTAGCTACCAAGCCAAGTTAGTATTACTACTAATACAAGGTACTAGGCTATATTACACAGTAGACTTACTCATATCTATTAATCTTATATCTTCTGTACTCAGATTTTTTACTAGATCAAATATTAACTGTTGAAATCTGTACTACTTTACCAAACTTGGAATTTCTACTATGCAGGTCCTTTGCTTATAGATCCTATCAAGATTTATTTGTACAATATAATTCAAACATTGCATCATACTTCCAATATTTGATTGACATTGGTGCAATATGATTTACAGAGTTGTAATCCTCAGAAACAAACAGAGTTTACTATAAGTTGAGTACAAAAATCTGAGTAATTATTCAAATTCATCGACAGTAGAATCTGAACTCCAGATCTCTTGCATAGTAGTCTGGTAATCTAATCACTATACTAAAATTACCAGACCTATCTCTAGTAGATATTTCTAGTAATCTAACTACTTTTTTGAATACAGAATTTTTATTATACTCACAAAAAGAATATTACTAATATTGTCAAATAAAATATAAAAAACAATTAAACTAAGATCTGGTGATCTTAGTATAATGATTAGATTACCAAACTGCCAAACAAGTGATCTGAGGTTTAAATCCTACTGTCGACAAATTTGAATAATTATTCAGACCTTTGTATCCAACTTACAGTAAACCCTGTCTGTTTCTGAAAGTTGTAACTCTGTAAATTATATTGCACTAATATCATTCAGATATTGAAAGTGTAATGAAATATTCAGAGAGTATAATATTATATGAATAAATCTTGATAGAATCTACAAGCAGGGATCTGTATAGTAGAAATTCCAAGTTGGTGAAGTAGTATAGCTTTTGATAGTTATATCAGCTAATACTTGATTCAGAAAAGAAACTAT